AGGAAATAAAAATTGAAGACAGCAAGCAAAATGTGGTTTTTAATGAAGAGGGAGTAAAAAATGATTTGCAGGACTTTTCTCCATTTTATCCAAAAATTTTTTTGAATACCAAAAAATTAGACGAATTATATATTAAATTAAATAATTCAAATAAGCAAGATAAGGAAATGATACTTGAATTGTTAAATGTTGGAGTTTTTGTTGAAGAAATCAAAAATAGAATTGAATACATTGAAAAAATAAAACTGAAATCTATAACTTCAATTAGTATAGGAAGTGTTGAAGGTAATATATTTTGAAAGATAAAATTCTTGATTAAATATGTATAAAAAGAGTTAAGCAAAGGTTTAGCTACCGGGGAGTGTTCAAACCTACGACCTCATCGTAGTTATTGCTAGGATCTTTCGCTCTCTCAACATATAAAAAGATCTACCACTGAGCTATAGGGCATCGACTATTGCTTTTTCTTTTATCTAGATTTAGATCGTTTAACCCCCGCCGAAGCGTTTTAAATGATATAGGTGAATCATTCTTACAATATTTAAAAGTTTTATATCTTGACACTAAAAAATGATATGGGCCTGTGCCGTTTTGCATTGGCATTTAACCTCATAAAAATTTTTTAAGAATATACATATTTAGGAAAATTATCCTAAGTATGACATTTAATTAATATAAGAAAATAAAGGCTCTATTACACAATATACGTCCAATCAACTATTATGCGTCCAATCAACTTTTATACGTCCAATTAAAGTTTATACGTCCAATGAAAATTTATGCGTCCAATAAAAAGTTTATGCGTCCAATGAAAATTTATGCGTCCAATGAAAAGTTTATGCGTCCAATCAAATTTGTACGTCCAAACGCATTTTTATTCATCAGAAACAATCTTAGTACCTTCGGCTACATTATTTGCTATAATTTGGAAAAGTGTATTTATAAGCTGTTCTATCAGCAAGATGGAAAAAACGGACTTTATTAGTTACTAACTCGACCATATCAAACAATCGTATTGACTCATTAACATATTCCCTCTATCATTCTCTCTACAATTTTGACTCATCAACTTCGACCACGCGACCTAGCATTGTGTAACTTGAACTCTTGTTCCCATCCCTGACAGGGTTTCGAAGAAACTTATAATAATCCATGATAGTATTAGTAGATATTATGTTAGTTTCGACCTGAACGGTAGTGAGTTTCTTGATGGGTGGGAGACCAGTAAGGAGTGAGTCGCCGCCAGTAATAAGTGACACACATTAAATTCGTTTCTTAAATTATTTTAAATGAATCTCTGTTAGCTCTTGAGTAAAGCGTTATAATAAATAAAAATTATTTTTATTTTTTTCTGAATTTATTTTTTTACTGGACATACAAAAATTTATTTGGACGCATAAACTTTGATTGGACGTATAAAAATTTGATTGGACGTATAAATTTTCATGGGACGCATAAACTTTTCATTGGACGTATAAATTTTGATTGGACGTATAAAAGTTGATTGGACGCATAATAGTTGATTGGACGTATATTGTGTAATAGAGCCAAAATAAATTATAAAGTGCGTTTTTTTTAGTTCAAATTGATAACAAAGATTATAATGGACTAAATTCATTAGAATCATTTGATAAATTAAAGCAGGAATTTAACAGAATAATAGAAGAAAAATTTATTAGCTTAAATAAAAATGATTTGGAAAATAAATTGCATAATTTGTTAAGAGAATTTGTAATGATTATTGAAGGATGGGTGATGATAAAAAGTGAGAATGAAGGAGATATTAATAATAATGATATGATTCCTGTAAAAAGCATGCTACATATACACAGGTTTCTTCGATCCATGAAAGAAAACCTTAAGAATTACATTTATTTTCTCAAATTAAAAAATATACATTTTTTTCTCTAATAGAACAAAATTATGTTAGTCGGATAGTTGGAAATCTTCGGATATCCGGATTAGGATAAGTTATCATCTGAGTATAAAATCCGGATATCCGTATCCGACAACCTTATTGCTAAGTCCAGTAGATTATCTAACCATCCTTTTTATCCTTCTTTTACTAATAGACCGCAAAGTATTATTAAAAAATCTAAACAATTTAAAAATTAAGATTGGCCGGCTTAATTAATAACCGCGAATTGAATCAAATAAACAATATCTATCAAAAAGATAATTTGGTATTACTACTGGGTAATATTAGTGGCCACGAATTTGAAGTATTTGTACAAAATTATAAATTGAAAATAAAACAAAAACTGCTGACATGTGAGTATATATTTATCGCATTTATTCAAAAAATTATCCAGCATCAAATACATATGCAATAATAATCATCCTAATAGTTACCCACACCGAAAGTCTAAAAATAATTTCCTATAATTTCCTATTTATTTTTAAATAAAATTTTCAAAAAATATAAATTATTCTAGATGAAAATTTTGAAATGGAATTTAAAATCTATGTAGAATTACCATTTATTTTTGATCAGAAAAATAATGCCGAAAATTCTGTAAGTTTATTTTAGAATACTCTAATTACTCGATAAATAACCTCAAATATTTGCTCTCCCTCGAATAATTACTACTTTTATATTAAACTAAGCAAAAAACCAACCCCGCAAAAAACCAACCCCGCGATTCCATAATTGTGCTTGCATATACCCCTGTCTTCGAACAATATCTGGTTTTTACTTCTCATTATTGTGCTTTTTTTGTTTTTATGCTTTAAAATTTTTCTAACATGACTCCAACTTCAACACTTGCTGTTTCAATTTCTCATGGCCCCAACAGTGTCTTCTTCTCCATTCGCTTTTCCACATTCTTTTCCTCCTCTTCCCTCTCTACGGGCTTACTTTTGTGTACGAATGCCAGTTACCTCTCATTTCGCGATTTAATTCACATGTCCGTCTTCCTCTCCCATAGCCTCTTTCGCCTCCACTCGATCCTTCATTATTATATATTTTACACTTGCCAGATGCACAGTTTTCCTCTCTCCATTTTCTGGGTCTTCAAGGATTAAGTTCGATTTCAATTACTTTGTAAAAGCCTTGGAACTTGTGATCAAAATTCCCTACTTTATCTTCTTGTTAAAACGAAATCTCCTACGTTCCTCTCAACAATTTCTGCTATTTTTCATGCGCTCTACGTTCTCTTGCAATTTAATTCTCACTTTTTAATGTACATCCTGTATTTACTCTTTCAGCTCCCTTGTGTATATACGCCGACAAATTAAAACACTCCTTTGTTTTTAAACGTTTCTTTAATCAAATGTGAATAAAATCAAGTGTGAATAGAAATCAAGTGTGTTAGAAATGGGGAGGCGAAGGGGACAGGACCGCTCCTTAAAATAGTTAATGCCGAAGCGTCGAAATTAACAACTTTATTCATTTTTGGATTTTTTTGTTGATTTAATCGTGTTCTGACAATGCGTCAGTGGACAATAACCCTCGTTATATCGAAGGTTATAGAACAAACGTATCCACTGACCATACTCCACTGACGCATTTTCCGGAAGATGATTGAGTAGTCGGGTAAAGGAATAAAGGCAAAGAACTCAATAAAATCGTCTTATTGTGTGATAGCTAATTATAAAATATTTTAAATTCAAGTTTGTCCAAGTAATCAAAGAAAAGTTCCAAAATAACAATAAAACGGATTCATTCAATTCTGCTTTAAATTATTTAAAGTTAATTATTTCTGAATGGGCTAAAAATGTTTATAATTGTATAGACATTGAATTTCTGTTGAGTGGCTCGAAATTATTAAATACAGATATTGTTGAATCTGACGTTGATGGAATTGTTGTTTTAAATAAAAATAAAGACGATGGGTGTAAAATAAATGAATTAAATCAGTTTATTGGTAATGGAAACATTGATGAATGTAAAAATTTTGAAAAAGTTGAAGAATCAGAAATATCACTTTTTTGTTTATTATACAATGTGAATAAATTAAAATTTTTTATAGGCTAGAGACGACTGGGAGTGTCGTACAAGAATCAAGATCTCGATAAATCTCGATTCTCTATAACCGATATTTTACATCGAGATCTCGTTTCGGTTTCCCTCTTTATTAATAAAAGACTCAAATTCCAAGTCTCAAGACCAGGACTAGACCCAAGACCAAGACCGAAAAAACCCTTGGAATCGAGACCAAGAATCTCGGATGTCTCTAGTGGTAGCTATAATTTTTCACCATCTCCATAAAGAACCTTATGAGTGGGGTCTATTTATATTAATAATTAAATATTTAAATAAAATTAATTTATTTAGGAAGCCCCAATTCATCAGCTTCGTAAAAGCATCCACACCCGAATTAAATTAATCGAATTTATTTTATTTAAAATTAAATTTGATATATCATTTGTTATATTAGAAGATATAATACCAATAAAATTAAATAAATTAATTCAACAAGATAATTTTGAAATTGAAATAATAATTGAAAAATTGGAAGAATTACAAAATTTAGAAACTAATGAAAATAAAATTAAAGAAAAACATGGAGAAATATTAACATTAGCCTCATATAATTCAAATAAAATTATTGAAAATATTATTGATAAAAGTGGGAATTTAAATAAATTCACATTTCTAACGAAAATCTTGAAATTGTGGGCTAAAAGTAAATTTTTAAATTTATTTTTATTTGATAGGTATCAGGGATGGAACGGGGTGAAAAAAAAGTTATCTGGCGGGTATCAAGTCGATAAAAATAACAGTTGCGGGTAACACATCCCATCACTGGTTTGTATATCCGCTGCCAAGGATCGGATCTTAACCTCATTCAGTCTCTCCTTTCCCATTTTTATTCGCAATCTGAATATCTGGATGCGAAAAAGGTCGTATAGCGGCTATAGTAATCCAAATATCCGGGGATTTACCAGTACCCACTACCTTGAATAGTTATAAATAAGTTTAACTATATTATAAGTATCTATACTAATGATGGAGATTGGGATGACTTGATCAGATTTTACTATTAATTTTTTAATAAATGTTTTTTAACCCGGGCATAAGGAACTACATATTAATACCCGTCCTTGTCTATAAAGGAAATTATTGCTTTATACATAAAACTGGTCCCAGAATTAATAATTATATTTTATTTAGAAAGATTAAACAAAAAATTTCAGATTATTATATTTATAATAATCAATTTGGTTTTCTAAATGGAGCAACATTGAATTTGCTTATTCTTAAGATTGTTCTACTTTATTTTGATTCATCCCAAATTTATTTGTTACAAAAATTCTTTGAAACATTTAGTGAATGGTTATTAATTCTTTAAGTAAAGAAAAAATTAAAATTTTTAGGGAATGGAAATTTCCAGTCAAATTAGAAGAATTAACTCAAAAATCGCAAAGTTGGAATGAAGAGTCAGAAATTAATTTTAGAAAGAACCAATATCTTTCAAAATATATTAATTATAGTAATGAAGAAAGAATTAGATTAGAAAAACATACTAATCCAATAATGGTTGTGTTAACACTTGGCTATCCAGAACAGAATTGTTCATATAATGTTAATTATTCTACGAGAAAGATTATTTTAAAAGAGTTGGAGAATGGTTATTTATTTTTATAATATTAAATTTTTAGTTTAGTAAGATTTCGCAAGATCATAGGTATCGGACAGGAAACGAGCATTTAAAACAGGCAAACCCTACTCAGCCGCGTATCAATGATAGTGGGTAAGAGCCGAACCGAATAACAGAGGATTCGAACGGACAACCCTAAATGAGGGTCTTAAAATAGAAACTAATATCTCTAAATATATCTAACGAAAATCTCGGTTATCGAAATAGATATCCTTCGAGACAATCCTCCATGTTGCTCTTAAATACTCGCTGATTTTTTTGAATTCTCATCAGCTGAATCTTACATTCGTTACTTTAAGTAAAGTATTTTATATTTGAAAGACAACGTTAGATTAATAAATATAAAATAATGTAGTTATACATAGAAAATTTATATTTTAATGCTAACTTTTAGGAAATAATATGGTTAAAAATATTAAAAATAATAATAGAGGAAATGAAGCAATTGTAAAAGCTTGGAATGATTGGTTAAGAGGTACTAGTTTTTTAATAAAAGTAAGAAATTTAATTTAAATTATTTTAAAATAATTTAAATTTAAGTATAAACATTTTTTGCTCATTTTATGTCTTGATGAAGATTTATTAAACAAAAAAGAAAATCTGTCTGAAGAAAGCAAAAATTATTGTCGCTTTATTGAGAGTCGAATCCGTTTAGAATTAATTTTTACGATTGAAGAAGATCAAGAAAAAATAGAATATGCTCATGCAACTAGTAATGAAAAATGTTTGCCGAAAGAAATTAAAGAAAAATATAGGTAAATTTTACAAATAAGGCGGAGATAGCGATTAGAATCAATAAATTTCCCTAAAGCAGCATATCCGTACTGTTCGCAAATTCGGATTGCGAACTGCAGAGTGTGTAAATTGTGTGTTTTTGGATATGCGGATTGCGTCTGCGAATTTTAAAAGAAAAATTGCGATGCGGATTGCGCTGCAGAAAATTTTTTTCATTTGCGGACATTCCTGGGTACTTTATTAATATCCCGCCCCCCACCCCTAGTTGAGTCTCAGATTAATTTTCTTTTCCTTTACTATCAATCATTTTCTCCTTCAAACATTACAGGTAAAAGGCTAAAATTAGGAAGGAAATAATAGACGGCAACCCAAAAATGTGTCTAACGGCAAAATTTAACATTTATAAGGAAGGAAATTTGACCGTTCCGAGGCAGGAGAAATAAAAAGAAAAATTAATTTGAGACTCAAATAGGGGTGGGGGGCGGGATATTAATAAAGTACCCATTCCTGGTCTTTATACAATATATTCCATTAAATAACACAGGTTGACCTGAAACCCGCCCAGCTTTTTCTCAACCAATGGCATCGCTGGAGAGAGAAGTCGTTATTATAGTAATCATTGCACGATCAGCGGAATTAGTCGTAGCATGTAGATCACTCTGAAGGAGTGAGCGGTATTGACACATAATATATAATTATTCCATTCTTCATCCTCTTTTTCTCACCTAAAAGCTTCGGCTCTAGCCCAGAACTGAATCTGAGTTTAGACTGTTTCGTCTCTATTTTAAAATTTAATTTTTCAACTTTAGTGCACAATATATCCAACATTGGTGGGTTGGGATTGAAACAAATAAATTTATAAAACAATTAGAATTTAATAAAAATAATGGAAATATTTTAAATAAATTTGTTGGAAATATTAAATACAAGACACCCTCTGCGTTATTAAATAAAAGTAGAAAAGTAGAATTAATTTATTTGAAAGGAGATAGTGATAAATTAAAAGAATGTTTAAATAAATAATTTAACTATATTTTTTAAATTTTTAACTAATTTTAAAATTTTAATTATTGTAACACCGAACGGGATCGGAGTTACTATGAGAGAACATGCAGGGTTTCGGAGGCAGGGTTCAGGTCGAGATTTGACAAAAAAAATCATCGGGGTCTCTTTAATTAATTTTATTTATTCAATAATTTTTAGATAATTAAACAAATTATAATTTAATAATTATCTAAATAATTTTTATTTTATGAATTGTGATTATAATATTTGTTTTCTATTTTTGAAAAATATTAGGAATTAGTGTCCTCAAAAATATCAAAACTTCTTCAGTTAAAGATCGTATACGAAAATTCCAAAACCAATAAATAATTGAGTGGCAACAAATGCTTAACTTTAAAATAAATTTTTATTTCTAATTAATTAACTATTTGTTGTGCACGAGGCAAAGCTTCTGCCATCCTACCACTAAAATTATGTATGGATTTTAACAGGATTATTTATTGGTCATAACAAAAGTTATGATCGCATTCTTATGCATTTAAATACAGGGTGATCCAAAATTAATCAGTCATTTAAACCTTCATCATAACGCTACGCAATCACTCGTACATGAATGTGAGAAAATCGAAATATTGTCCAAAATTTTTGAATGCACTTCAAATTAAAAAAGCAAGGATTTAGAAAATTTTGATTACGTTAGTTTGTTCTTTCTTGTTACTCCTAGCAAACTAAGGCATAACCCCAAAAGGTTAATATTTTATTAGTTTTTTCGTTGTGTTTATTATTGAAATTCTGTGGATTCTAATCCTTAAAACTTACCAAAATTAAAACGTTCCCAATGACATTAATTGTTGCCCTTTCATTAATTGTTTGAACTCCATTACCAAAGAAAAACAAACAAAATAATGGAATTAAATGGAACCCAGAATAACGAGCTAATAAAGATAAAGACATATAAAATCCCTTAAAATTTAAAATAAAATAATCAAAATATTTTTTCAACTTGAACAAAAAAAGCTTTAGATTTAAGCATTTCATAAAGAATTTTTCGTTGATTTGATTGGATAGATTGCTGTTGTAAATGAACTCTATGTATTACACTAACGCTTATCGATGTCCTTCGAATATTTGCAGTGGTTGTGGATATTGCAGCTGATCGTGAATTTCCAGGAAATAATTTTCTAAAAGACGAGTCTTTATATTCGAATTTGGTTAAAAATCCTACATTTATTTATACGTTTAAGTGAATAAATAATTTGTATGACCCTCCTGACATAAAAAGAAATTCCAAATTTAGTGAGTTGGGATTTCCATCATGAAAACATCCGGCTTAGCGATTTTTGTGAACGGGAATAAGTAGTTAGGATCCCTTGTCATTTTGCTGTTTCATGTGTGTCCAATCACATTCCCTTGCATATATACCTCAATGGTCTAGGTATTTACGCAGCACGATTTCGGCACTGGTAGAACATGGAGGAACATACTTATATCCCTCAATATTCTGGTTAAGTACTCAGCACGACTTCTGCACTACTATACTTTGGGAGAACATTGAACACCAAATCCTTTCTCAATGTTATTTTTGATATCAATATTTATTAGTGCTCATTAAAAATTTATTAATTAAATTTAATTATAACTGTATTTTTCTTTCAAAATAAACAGCTCCAAGCAAATTTGTTCCAATACATATAATCATTAAAAATCCAAGCAATAGTTTCATTAAATAAGCCCCACTAAATCCATTATTATCATCATCATAACAGACACAATAAAAGGAGTAGCTAACAATATTAAAACGAAGAACACAACGAAAAATAGCTCCGAAGATTAAAAGTAAAACTAAATTGGTTATTAATTAACAGAAATTTTTTAAAAATATTTAGGTAAAAGATAATTTTTACCATTCATTTTATATTACAGTTAAATCTAAATGATTACCTTTCATCAAATAATCACTCTCCTTCTATTGACTAAACCTCCTGATTATTCTGCCCTATTAGTCACCTCTATTGAATACCCCCATCTTTTTTTAAACCAAGATGACCCCCACTATCAAATGCCTTAAACAGGTTCGGATTTCAACCTTTGGATGATTGCCCTCCTAATCTAAAGATTCGTGGAAACAATAATTACCCTGAGTAATTATTAAAAAATATATAATTAGATGTATTTATCAACTTACAAGCTAACCAAATCCAAAAACTTGTACAAATAATAGAACCCCAATTATTTAATGCATGTATAGCTATTTCGTTTTGTGAATATAACAATTGATTGTGAACATGTCCAAGTGATTGTAAAAACATAAAATGAAAAGTAGCCATGTGTGCGAGAGTTTCGCATGTTAGGACGGTTTCGACAAATCGAGAGAGAAGAAATTCTTTAAATTAATTAAAGATTCAAAATAATTTTAATTAGGTTTTTAAAAATGTTTTAGGTTATAACTTGGATTATAATTTAAGAACTAAAGGAAGAAGAGCCTTATCGATGTTATTACGACGAGAATTCTATAAAATATCTTCAAATAATAGAACAAAGCAAAGTCTGTACCTGTTTTTTCATCTAGCTCTTAAATATAAAAAATCTAAGGAAAACTGGGTCACAGTTGTTCAGTTCCAAATTTAATCTAAAGGCTACTTAGAAATAAACGCAAGAACCTTAATCTGACTCTTTTCAACAAATTTCCTTAACTAACCTCTTCCAATCTCATATGGTAAAATAACAGTAGGGACAATTACAAAAATTTGTGTTAGTGAAGATACTATATCAGCTATTACTAAATGTCTTGAACAAATATAAACAAATTTTGTAGAAAAATATCGGTGCCCATGAATCAAAACACAAGCATATAATAAATTAATTATTAATGCAATTATTGAAAGTGGAATGAATAAAATGGAAGCAAATATGGAAACTGCTGTATTTAAATATTGTTCAGGAAGCATTACTTGATAAAGTTTAGTCCTTTGGTGCGTCACATTTCATTAATGCTTTTCAACACGAATTGACCTTCCTTAAGCAAGGAAAGATTTTAAGTCAATGAACTTTTATTAGAAAATTATAGGAGTAGAATATACATAATTTTCTTGTAAAAGAATCCAAAATTTAGTGTTATATCCAAATGTTTTATTATAGTAAAACAAAAAAATTTTCAAATAAATGTACTAATACAGAGTAAATTTTGCATGTATATTTTTATTTAAAAATCATATATTCAGGAATATACTTAAGCATAATAGCAATT